ACCCCACAGATCGCCCCCCAAGTCCAGGAAGATGTGAGATGCGGGTGTGGCAGATCAGGGGGACTGAGACCCCCCGGAACATTGTGCGCGGGAATGCAATGGGAGGCGAGGGCACCAAATGTCAAGCAGATTAAAGCGCAACCGCTGTGAAGGAAGGCAATCTTCAGGAGTCGCAAACTCAGATGGNNACATAAGTGGACAAGTCCACAAAACAGGCCCATGTCATGTACCCCCGTGTGCCACAATGCAGCCGATACTCTAAGGAAGCCAGCAACACTTCCTGTAGCTCCAAAGGGCAAGACGTTAGTGCCGTACAATCGGACAACTTTGGAGTCAGTGTCAAATACCCCAATCCGTAGGTGCTGTCTGTCTTCAGGGTGTATGGGGTAAAACTTGTAAGCTGAAACCAAATCAATAGTCCTCCCTTTGATTCGCAATCCTCTGGCAAGCGACCTGTTCAGCAGCTCGACAAAGATACCAGCCAGAACGTCCACCCCGTGCAAGGTGAACTTTTCTGGCAAGCCGCAAGCCAAGTTAAGCCCACATTCCTTGCCGGTGTCAATGACCCTGACCTTGCCTTTTTGTTCCAAGCCAAAGCGATGGGCAATGACCATCGGCTTGCCAGCGGCCATCTCCTCTCGGAAGATCCATCCCTTCTTCTCCTCCTCAAGCGTCTCCGCCCAAGCTTTGCGGGTGGTCTCATCCACCACCGTTTTCCTCAGCTTGTTCAAGGTAAGAGGAGTACGGTAACTGGATTGTTCTAGCAGCCTTTCAAGGGTCGTCTCGGGAGGTCGCAACTTTTTGTCAAAAATTCCAGTGTCCCTCATCCACCCGGTGAGGCGAAAGCCATCTCTCAAATCCGCCCAAAGCTGATCGTCCTTGAAGCCATTGTGTCGAAGGATGTCTCTCCAAGCAAGGACATTCTTGTTGCCAAGAGCCTCGACCAAGTATTTGGGCTTGCCCTTCAGTATCTTGTCATTAAGAGACCTCGTAGTCGCCTCAATGTTGCTCCATCGCTGTCTTGTGGCTTCAGCCCTCTTCTCCCTGTCTTCGAAGGACAAGAGCACAGCATCCACGATGTCAGCAGCCGGCCCAGACCGACTAGACGCAAGCCCGTTCCGAGGGTGTCCCGCTTTGACCGCCTCATTGACGAAGTCCTGAGGTTCACGCGGGATGCCCACAACGATCAGCTCTGCACTAGTCGAGCAGGGGTCATCACTTTGCAATAGACCGCATACTTGCACCGTCTCCTCGTGATGCAGCTGTTCCAAAAAGTGTTGCTCCGGCTCAGCTTGCCTCATGTGGTCATTCCAAGCCTCCTTCAAAGTGGAAAAATCAGCAGCAGGGCACAAGGATGGCACGCAAACCCGCACCATACCCCACGGCACAAGTTTGCGTTGAACAACACGGGCGCCCTTGGGGTAGCAACGCAGCAAGGCCAGAAGAAACTCAGCCGCACGAACAGGGACCGCCCAGGAGTCGTAGTCGCGGTAGCATGATACCAGCGGCCGTGCAAATCGCGGCTGCTTCTCAAGGTGCATTTGCGCAGGCTGGCGAGGCTCGGGAACCGAATTGCGCAACCTGTCAGAATGCTCGGCCACAATGTAAGCCATGCGTTCGCACAACAGGTGGGGATACGCAGCCTCGTCCTTAGCAGGGAAAGTAGCCGTACCAGCCAGGACCCGAGAGCGCCAAGATGCATGAGCGTGGTCTCGAGAGCAGAGCAGTGCCAGAGGCAAGAAGCGATCATCAGAACACCAAAGAAGGCCCCGTTTGTCACGCGTGCCGCCGTGCATGCACGCGTCAAAGACGACCTGATGGTGAGGAAGACGAAAAAGATGGTCCAGCCCGTCACAAAGCCACGCAAGGGAGTTTGCAGGGTTCTCGATGGAGATGAAGATCTTCAGCTCCAGGGCAAGGTCGGCGATGGCTCCCACCGCCCGGTAAAGCAAGTTTGCTTGATCCACCCGCAACCGGTCTCGGCCGTGAAGAGTGCTGAGTCCTTGGGGCTCGGTGGTGCTCCGCAAAGGAACCGGCGCCTTCATGGAGGGGTCGACCCCAGCAAGCGGGCGAGATCGAGCGGCAGACGCTGTCCCACAGGGCGGAGCGCAGTGAATCCAAGCGATGTTGGCAGACTCAAGCCGAATGATGTCCAGGAGCATGGCCAGGTCGTCAGCCAGGGTGAGGTCCAGCTGCTGTATGGGAAAGCGACTTTGCACAGAAGCCTTGTCGACCGCCAAAGTGCGAAAGCCAAGCCGTTGACATGCAGAGCTGAGGCGCGCTGTACCCGCAAAGACCTCTAACACCAAAGGCGCGACCTGGTCGGGGAAGACACGGTTGATCGTAGCCGCAGAAGTAGAAGCGGGGGAAGAAGCATAGCCCGAAGCAGCGGTTGAAACGGTTACCTGAGTCACAGGGACGGGCAAGCGATAAGCCACCCGCGGCCGAGGCGCAGGGCCGTGGCCCACCGTATGGGCAGCAGCACGGGTCTTAGGGTCACCCGAAGGGGGAGCGGGGGCCTAACAACCCGAGGCGGTGACCTGCTGGCGCCTCGTGGAAAGCGCGCGGAACCGGGGCGGGAACGAGGGTCACCCAAGGGGGCGGGGAAAGGCCGATCAGCAGGAGGTGAAGCGCAACCGCCGTCGTGCTCGACAGAGGCAGGAGATGCAGAAACAGGACAGCCATGGTCTGGTAGGCGAAAGCCAGCGTCGCGAAGTTGACGACGATGATCCGGAGTCAAAGTCGAAGAATCACGAATGCAAAAACCCACGACAAGAAGGCGCGTGCCACGCCAGTCACAGGTGGCATGCAGACGCTCCGATGGGAGGAGCTGTGGCCCCTGGTGCACCGGCAGCAAGTAGCCACACCGCCGGACCTGTGGGTCTGGGCACGGCACAGAACCTTTGCCGTCGACCCAAACCTGTCCATCGACGAAGCACGACGCCGGCAGCAGTAGGTTCGGGTGGCGATGGTCGTTATTGGCATCAGAGTGGACAGGTGCTCTCAAGTTGAAAAATAATCCGACAGAGGAAAACATGCGCCCCGGGAATTGTGCGGCCAAAACCCGTGCAAGCAGTGAAGTTGACATGGGGAAAACCCGAAAATTGGACCGTAGTCCAGTGTCGTGGAGGTGTACAAATGCACCGGAAGTAAAGGCCTTTGGGTCCTGGGGCTCCACAGGCTTGCCTGACGGTCCCTGGACTGTATCGGCGGGAAGCAAAGCACTCATGGACATGAGTGAGTCGAAACTCACAAAACCGGCACGCAAGCAAGCGGCAGCCAATCGCTCGACCTCAGCTAGTGCCTCAGTGTCAAAAGAAGAAAAGACGGCATCAAAAGAATATCCGGCCACGTGTGGCCCGGTGCCTGAAATCGCAGCAGCCTCAACTGTGCTAGGGCCGCGAGGTGGAACACCGAGTCACTCGGATTTGGACTTGCCCGTGCCAGCACCCTTCCAGCTCCGAGCACGGCAGTTGCGGAAGGAGTGGCCAACCCGGCGACAGTAAGCGCAGATGCGCACTCCCCGATTGCACCTGGGAGGGTCGCCCTCCGTTTTGTTCTTGCAGCCGCCGCAGTTGTGGTCCCAACAAATCGGCGTGCCATCCTCGGCCTTCTGGTGAGCATCCTTGAGCTCGGCAGGCATGGTGCGAGCTGCAGACGGGGCCTTGCCGGTGGGGGTGGTAGTGCGCGAAGAAGATGCGGCCTTCAGCCTGCGTCTGCGCTTGGCGGACCTAGAAAGACCTTCACCGGGCTTATTATGAACAGGCAGCGGGTGATCAACATCGACAGGCTTGACGTCCGGTGCCCGGCCCCAAGTAGCCATGAGGTACATGGTGATTCGAGGGTCGGTTCTCAGTGCATCAAGCGCCACTCCGAGAGGGAAGTCACCGGCGGCGGTGACCTTAAGCGACTTGACCTCGGATGCCATGATCAACCATGCCTCGCGGTCCGCCTGGACGATGCGATTCATGTCAGGTTTATGAAAACCAGAAGGGCAGTCCTTCGTGAGCGCATGCAGCAAACAATGAACCCACCTCTCATGTTGGGCCCACGACATGACCCTGGCCTGGTCAAGAGCCAGCCCACGTCTCTGCAAGCACCACTGAAGTTTGATCGGGGAGTCAAAGGAGGCGGTGTCCTTGGGCTGATCGTTACCCACCTTAAGTGAGTTATCCTCAAGCCGAAAAACGCGGCTTTGGTCCTTGGTTGACAATTGTATTTCGCTCTCGCGACTAGTGCATTTGCCGGGCGAGATCCATGTGACCCCCACGTCCAGCATGTGGCAACAAAGGTCCACAAGGGCGTGCGATGGAATCATGTCGCTCGATGTGCACGCCAACGAGCCGACGCTTTTGGTCCTCAGCCCGTGCCGCCTTCTCTGCCAAAGGCAATTTCCGTGGGGTCTCTGAGGTCTCGCCTTGCACAGATTGCCGCAGCTGGGCGATCACGTACGTGCAAGCCTCGAACAGGAGCCGCTTAAGCAACGCAATGTCACCAAGGCGCGGCGCAGCACCAAGAATGCGAGTAGCAAAAGCGTCCATCTCCGCCTGCGTGGGGCGGTCCTGCGGCGTCCCACACGCATAAGCCAGGGATGCAAAGCTGGTGATGCCCTGCGCTTCCAAAGCCGTCAGCAACGCACTACCATCGACATCATGGCACCGCTGCTTGAACGCGGCCGTACTGTCGACCAACGACATGTTCCCGGCTACAATCTCGAGGCCGCAAAGGAAATCTCCGGAGGCAAAAATGAAAAGAGCCCTTCTGAAGATCACTGCATTACAGCGGAGTGATGCAATCAAAAGCGCCTCTCACATTCCTTGTCCGATCAATCCACGCGCCAAGCGGCAGCTAGAGCTCAGCCGCAGCCCGCTTACAGTTACGGCAAACGGAGGAGTCATAACGGATCTTGCCCGGAGGTCTGTACAAGTCGGTGACCATCCTCCCGCACAAAAGAAATCGACGATTATGAGTAAGAATCATATGCAAAAGTCGTGTCCGCTGGTGTTGAAGAAAATATGTTCCCTCAGCCGGCTCAGGATTGGCAAGAACCCTTTCCGGTTCAGTGTCGGCCTCAGAAGAGCTACTACTACCAGAGCTACTCGAGCTGGAGGAGCTCGAATCATCAGCCTCGGCAGCAGCCTCCCCGGCCTCGAGAGCGCTTTGTTCGGGCAAGCACGAAGTACCCGCCTCCCCCGCTTCTCCAGCAGCATCATCAGGAGGGTTCGCCAGACAATCCGAGCCTTCGGCGTCGAAAGGGTCATTGTTCCCCTGCGACACAGCATCGTCGGACTCCTTGCCGAATTGGTCCACCCGGAGCCAAGACTTCCCAGCTGAAGATGGGTCCCCCCTTGGTGGCGAAGACCCGCCCAATCGCGGCTCTGTTAAGCCACCGCCCTTAAGGTACGCAGCGCGGCCTGCGTCGGGATCAAAAATTCCTGACTTGATTTCGTAGATCAAAGCAATGAGCAAGCGCAGCGGTCTAGCAAGTTCATCTCCCCCGTAGACATCGGCCATGCCTGCTGAGTTTGCATGGCCACCGAGAACAAGGCGGTCCAGGTGCTCCACCCCTCTCTTCGTCGCCATCGTTAAGAAAGTTCGCTTAAGTGTGTGACCCGAGGTCCGAAGGTGTTCCCGATCACCGCAAACCTTGCGCAGCCATCGAGCGATCTCCTCGGTAGACACCGATGCTCCAGTAGGGTCACCAGAAGGGCCCGGCGTCGGGAGCGGTGGCACGAAATCGTCGATGCCAATCTCCAAGCGGGCCTCGTACCACAAGTCAAGCCAGTTGTCATCAACAATGCCCCGCCCCGGCGCCACGAATCGAATGGGCTGTCCAGCGAAGAATTTCGAGTTAACTGTCTTGTAGACCTCACACGTGTACTCCAGGAAAAGCCGTTCGCCCCCCTCTCCATACTCCACTTGGAAACTAGAGGCATGCTGGAAGTCTGACCACCTGGATCGCATATAACTGCAGCACAAAGTAGCCCCAGCAAAGACCCGATCCCATGCCGGTACCGTCAGGTCCCGCAGCATCGCATGCAGCAATCGAAGATTCTTGACAGTGAGCGGGTCGGCCCTCTTCCGAGCACACTTTTTCTGTCCACGAAGAGACACACCCAGGCATCTCCTGCTGCTGATCACTGCATCAAGCTCCGGAATGGTGAACATATGTCTGGCAAAGATAATGGCCTCTCTTAAAGCTCGCATTTGCGAAGGTTTTGCTCCCCCTGATCTTGCGGCACTCATGTACTCATAAACTTTGGCTTCCTTGTAAGGAAAAACATCCTCGGACCAACCGGCACTCTTATGGTAGCGGAGCAAAGAGTTGACACGCTTGAGAAGAGTTCCAGGCGCCTTCGGATGCAGCCAGTCTTTGAGGACGTCCGTCCTTTCGTCGATCGTGTCACAATCGAGCAGGCTCCGGCACACCAATAAATCAGGGCTCACTTCGGACCACTTGATTATCACAAAAGACCAGCGAGCAATAGCCCTATCAAAGTCGCGATCACGTTGCTCTTCCCAAGAAATCCCAGGACCCTTCCGAACCACAGAGAAGCATATCCCTGGCAGCATCCCAGACTCCTCAACTCTCCGCTTCTTCTCAGAAGGAGGCAGGATCTCACCTGCATCATCTGGTATCGGCAGTTGAGGCAAGTCGAAGGAATCATTCCAGCTCACGGCTTCCTCTGATTCAAAAATCTGCTTGAAGACACCAGACTCCCAAGGCAGCAAGTTGCCCTGTGTTAGTGTCTCAGAGCAACTGTCCATCGCAGNNAGACTGTCAAAATCGAACCGAGGGCACCCGTTCTGACCCCCATGAGAAGTGCCCGCATTCTGAGTCATCAAGCCTCCGAGGTCAGGACACCAAAGTGGTTCCCGGCGCGTCGGGGCTCGGCGACAGCAGCAGCAGGGCCTAGTCAAGCGAGTGTAGGTCAACCACTCGGTGGGGCCCGTCGGTGTCTTGCGGCAAGCCCTCCAACAAGGTTACCCGGCGGGC